CCCATAACTTCTTTCACAGAATTGTCTTGCAAATAGAAAAAGCAGAATTGGAATCACGCTTCAAGCTTTTACTTACAGTATGCAGTTTGTGGTGATCGATCACTTCGACTTCGTGATCCCCCCTTGTGAGAATAACATCGCGCACTCAGCCGAGGTTAGCTGAAATGGCTGTCGTCACATCGCTCCCGGTTCAAAGCAGACGAGCTCTAAAACAGGGCACCATTCAACTCAGCTTGACGAGGCGCATTTTTCTACATAATTCTTGTATGGGTACGGCAGATATGCGATAGAAGCTTTTTTGTCAGTTTCTACAAGACCTTTTCTTTTATTTACGCATGTTAATTGGGTGCTGAATGCAACACGTACATACATAAGCTGCTGCTGAAAACTGGCTACAGTATTAGAATAGCCATACAGATATGTATCTATCTTCACGAGTTTGCAAGTTCTGAATAGTAAGGGCTCAATGGTCTGCGCTTAGAATGCTTATATGCGCAAAGTGTATAATTTTCACATTTAATCGAGATCTCTGTTTTCTTTCTTTTGCCTCTGAGGGACATAAATATACGGTTAATATGTAATTACCGTAATCAGTTCTAGTTTTTGATGAACATACAAACGTGCAGTACTTCCGCAGCTTTTCAAAATCAAGTGAAGGCTGATGCGTACATAATCTTCATTCTGCGCAAATACCTGGTAATAGAGTGTTGGTCCCAATTTTTGCGAAAAATCACAAACATGAAATGCTATAGTTGTCAAATTCAGAGTATTCCTGAAAATTCTTCCGAACAAATATAAAATTGTCTACATTTTGGCTTTCAACTCGGTATGTTGTTTTGTCAGACTCAAAGGCATTGTCCAGGTCAACCAACTAAGAGGGGAGGGGAGAGTTAGTAATAGGATTGTGAACCAGTGCGGGAGCACGGCTTCTGACTGATGCAACAATATAAATCCGATCGAAAAGGTTGGATTCTGAAGCGAGAAAATCGCTTCGAAAAAAAGGAGTGGTCCGCCAATCCCGCCTCCTTTGACAAGTTTTGACGTGGTTAATAGTCAGATCTACAGCACAAGCCACGTCACTTTTCAAGGGGCGGGATTGGCGGACTGCGCCTTTTTTTTTCAAAGCGATTTTCTCGCTTCAGAATCCACTTTTTTCAATCGTACTTGTACTGTTTCGTTAGTCAGGAGCCGTGATCACGCACTGTTTCATAATCCCACTACCCCCCAGTTGACCTAGACACTGCCTTTAATGCTATGCGCTGACAACTTTTCAGCTACTAAAGCTTGCCTACTTCGTTATAAGAGCATAAATATTCTAGAATGCTTGCTCTTACGCCATTACAAGATTAACAACATCATTTCTTTCCATAACCAACAACATTACGATTGCTAATTGCATGAATTTAGCACCATTTTTGATAAAAATAATTGTTGTTCACTCCATTTTTCAAATACATAACCTAAAACAGGAAAAGAGACGAAAGTCTGCTGAGCTTGGACGACTAAAACTATCGGTGATTTAGATCCTCGCCGTTATATAACATACAAACAGTAATTCTCCAGCTTATATCCGATCTTTTTCCTCAATTCCAAAAGGCAGTTGAGGATCTACTCAAGATATAATAGATATATATCCGCACGTTCCGCTGCTGCTACCCTTTATGCCATTTTTGCTTCCCCATGAAGATAGAAGTCATTGACTTTTACGAAAATGGAGGGCATAAAAATTCAATTTGTAGCTCGAATCTTCATTCTTGTTCCATTTTCCTGCATCTCAACTTATAGTCTGCTGGAAGTCACCAAAAATTGGAATTGTACATTTGTGTTAGAAATATATGTTTTTAAAAGCATCTGATGCGTCCTAATGGCTGCGACTTCCGAAATTTGCTTTTTTCACTTTTCTGGCTGGTCCCAATCTTTAAAATTTTTGCAATAAAACCACGAGTCAACACTGATAAAGTAGGAGTCATTTCATGAAATCATCAAGGTGTATGTGTGCATCTGATCAAAAAATAAATTATTGAAAAAAAAGAGTATTATTCCATAAACAAAGAGAAAGTGGACATGCAGACAATTATACAGTCAATACAGAAGCAAGTGCAAGAAAGGACATCTATTCTAGCTTCCCGAATTCTTCCCTAGATCTCCGGATCTCCGGATCTTCTACACCACATATTTAGACACATCTATCGGGTTATCGAGTGAACACACAAAAGTGGTTCCCATATGTAAGTGTCCTCCTCTATCATTAGGTTCGTGGACTGTGTAAATCTGAAGTGCACATCCGATACGTGTCATATTTTCATCGCGGGCCATCTGAAACAAACTGTACGAAGCAGTGATGATTAGCTTCAACATATCTGTGCGAGTGACTCAAAAAAGATACAAAGGAGGGTCTGAATGTAGCAACCATACCCTTGCAGTACCTTTCCCAGAACCCTTGGATAATCGCTACATTCTAAACTCATCCTTTGTATGAGACTAACACTTTTCTGGCTTTCCCAAACTATTCCTTCCCACACTTTCAGTTTTTCCCCCTCATTGTCGGAAGAAAAATATGTCTTGTTTGTGGATGTCATGTTTTTTTCTCGTGCATCAGTGCAGATTCTTGCAGATATAATCATTCGCGTTTACGTTGAGAGCAAGCTTATAACCTACTTGAAACTTCAAAAACCTGATATTCTGAAGCGATGGGCCCTTGGATCGCATGCTTTGGTTTGCTTGGGGTACAATTATGTTTTTTAGTGCTGAAAGCAAATTTTTTCTTAAAATTTGTTGGCATATCGCACCCGTTAAATTATTAAATTCATAAGAAAAGAATGTCGCATTTTGCGTTATCACGTAGTGACGGTAGAATGAACAAAAACAGCAAAAAGAACGTAGATTACCATCTGATATAGCGAAGCAGTTTGTACAGGATTGCATCATAACAATCGCAACCAGTTTTGTTACGTGAATTTTGAGGCAAAGATTACAAAAGCCCGAAAAGTTGAAAACGTCGAAAAAAAATCGTAAGAGTCGCCAACTTGCTCAAGCATATAATCTCAGTATTAGACACTTATGTGAATAGTTGCTGTATTCTTTTCCGCAGTTAGAAATCAAGAACACAAAAACCTTCGAGATTTCGCCAAAGAAAGGCTAGCTGCATTAACAACCAAAGATACTGTTTACGGTCGATGCAAAGATCATCCAAGTTTACAAACATGATGGTTCTGGTTAACGACGATCAAATCACACAAGTTGCGGATAGAACCAGTCATTTTCGTAAAGTAGACTGAAATGAGCGTTCAATGATGCCGTTGCTGATGTACTTTTGAAACAAGATGTAGTAAGTAATTCACAATTTGCAAATTTCCCTAGAGCCCGGAGAGTTACATACACCAAATTGAAGACTTGGTACACACATCAACGACATTTGGAGCATGAAAGGCAAATCGCATCCAGTTGCTGAACTTCCTTTGCGAAACACCAATTTGCATTTAGTGGGGTCAGTTTCGTAGTTCAGCAACTGCAAGTACTTTTGGATTGTAAATAAAGTGAGGGCATTGTCCAAGTTCGACTCTCGATTAAAACCAGCATGTTGCAGATGTTTGTTGCGGCTTGTTTAGCCGGACACCGGGATTGGTATGTCCTTTATTCGACTACAGTCTCGGCGGTATAGCCTTCTTCAGAGTCTGACAATTTTCACACTCTAAAGAAGGCGAGGACGTTAGTCAAATAAAGGATACACCAACCCCTTATCCAGCTTAACAAACCACAACAAAAGTGGAGGCTTTTTCCAAAAATGAGTATTTTTGGCAATAAAGTGGGCATCACTTGAGGTTTGGAATTTTGATGATGGCTTATATCATAGTTCACACAATGTTGCAATGTTGACATATATGAGAGATTCCTTTTTAGAAAAACATTGCAAAACCGCCAAATCGTATTAGGTTGGTGCAAAAGTGATGCGCGTTTTTCTAGCTGCTGTTTCAAGATAAGCTTTTTCCATCAAACTTTCTCCTTTGGAGTATGCTCTATTTAAGAGTGGTTGAACCGCGCTTCAAGCCTCATTCGTTCAAAAACTCATAAAGCTTCACATAACCGCACACGAAACCAGAATTACAGTGCACTTACTATTCTGGCCAGAATTCAAGCGCAAATGAAGGCATTTTTCTGATTCAGCTAATGTATGTAACCGAAATAGTCTAGATTATGCATATTTTTCTTAGAGAAATTACCTAGATTAGATTTTGGCGCCTCAGTGTGGGTAGTTGTTTCGATTGTTCTGTGGCCCATAAACTTCCATTGAAGAGGCGGATGCCAAAGCTTTTGTCAACGCTGTAAGCGTAAGGGTGGACCTAGTGTTGACAGTTTTTGCAGAATTAGCTGTTCAATACGCAAAAAACAAAAAATTCCGTATTTTAGACTTTAAAAGCTACGAAAAAATGTTGAAAAAATCTGACAAGTTTGCATATTAATTTTTTTCTTTTCACAAATGTTCTTTGTTTGAGCCTTTTTCAATTTTTCTTGTACTAATGGCTTGCGGCTACAAGATAGTACTTGCCATTTCTATTAACAAATTTTGAAGGGTTCTGTTTCAATCGTCGTGTTTCTGCCCGTTTGTGTGATATGTGTATAGGTAAATTTTCGCCTTACGAAAGGTTTACTGCATCTGACGGTCTTCATCGCACTGAAAAATTTAGATATTTCAGAAAGTCATAGTACTTCAAAATGAAAACAGGGAACAGGTAAACTTATACTTCTTTCAAAAAAGCTTAACGTCTAACTAAAATGCGCATCTAGCACGCTCGAATACTGCTCCAGTTACATATGTCTACGTAATATCAAGAGAGTTTATAAAACTCAATCATGCCATAAGCAAGGTAAGCACAGTGCTTTGACCAGAAAATCTGCCAGCTTATGTGATCACTGCCTTCTTTGATCGGTTACTTTACGATCGTGAAATAGCAAATCAAAAAATTGACACAGTTGACATGTCAAATGGTACATGAAATTATCTAATTTTTGTACTCCATGTAACTCACATCACACAATCGAGTATCGAAATGCATAGCGCTGAAAGTCTTTTCTATGTGAAGTCTGCAAAATTGAAAATTTTCTTGTTACAAAACAAAAATATAAACTTACGTGGCGTAAACAAGGAAGACATCGCGCGGAACTAGTTCGGGTGGTCCCAAAGGTGAGTGTTTCAGAGGCCACCATGCATGACATTCGGTCCAGCAACTATATTCCTAAAAAAATTAGTTTTCTGGAAGCATGCGCCCGTTGGCATTTTTAAATTTATCCGAGCCTACCGATTTCGTTTGGGTAGGCACAATACTCATTGAAACAGATATAGTGTGGACCCCGGCCAGCTTCCCATATGTACCTCCGCGCCGCAAACGCAGCGCATGCCTTCAGTGCTCTTTTCGTCCCAGGACCTATTGGTTTCTATGCGTTCCTCTCTTTATTGAGTTTGTTTTTTTCTATAATCTCTTTCTTTCAGGGTTAAACGAACCACACTAGCTGCTTCTGTTTCAAAAGCTCTCGTTTTTTTCCTCCGCAATGAGGATTAAGTATAGTTTGAAGAGATTTCCTCAGGGTTTCTATCACGGACCAGACGTATCTATTCGATTGAATTTGTTTTGTATAGAAACGTATCTATCCGACTGAGTTTGTTTTGTCTAAATCTTTTAGTTGCTTTTCAATGCGGCACTGCAGCTTCAGCTTGTATAATTACGCTCTCCACCTTATGCTTCTAGTTTTTCAATGATTGCAGAAGAGTAACGTTCCAAAAGTAATCCTCTTTCCGCTATTTCTACGATTTTCACCCATCAGTGGTAGTTTCATACTAGTATGCATGAGAATGACAAAGAACCAAGTGTTAGTGGAGGTTGGAAGAGTTTTTTCTTCTGCTTAAGCTTTTCTGGAGGTGAGAATAGAGGGTTCCACTTCTTGTCTCACTCCTATCTTAACTTAGAGATGATTTTTCGTTGATATGGAATAAGAAGCGTCAACACTGCGCGCGTTGCGTATGCGCTGCGGAGGTACATATGGGAACCTGGCCGGGGTCCACACTATAACACCAAAGGGATTCTAATATTACTGTAAATAGGACGATAATCTGTTAACCTACCAGCTCATGTTTTAGCTGATGTTTTTTCTGGCATTCGTCCGTAATATGGTGCAGCAATAGAACTCTATGGTCTTTGTCTATGCGATTATCATAACATTTTGGATGTTGCTGATCACATTCCAAATTCTCTGGGTCTTTGGGAGGAATCGTTGGATCTTTCTCGGGAGGAGTTGCGGCAAGAATAGAAACACCCAGAAACTGAAACAATGTCAATTTTGGATTGTCTCAAAAAAATGCTACTCACAGTAAAAAGAGCGCAGTAAAATATTCCGCGTGTAATACTCGCACAGTTACCGTATGTTTTCATTCTGAAATCAGGCTGGAAACAAAATGTTTTATTTCGTCCAAGAACAAAGGTACATCGCGTGCAACAATCGATGAGGAAGCCCACAAGTAAATTAACTCAATGAAACTGACGTCGTTCTAATAATGCATTCGATTCATGCCTTTATCAAAAAGCTTGTCATGAATTCTCAATATACTCGCAAATGCGCTCGACAGAGCTTGCAGTAAACCTGCAATCTTCCATGATATAAATATTCACTTGGATAACAGCTACTATCCTAAGTGAGCAGACTCATTTGCAGTGAGTGTTCACTTAGATTTTTTAGCGATAGATTAAGGAGATTTTGAAAAACTGATAACGATCAATCACCACATGATTTATCCCATGTTTCAGGGCGTATGTGTTTAATTACTTGAATTTTATCACATTTTATGTCTGAAGATAGAGCTTCAAACTTTAGCTCATAGAAATTGAAAAATGATAGTTTTCTGAGAGGCGCCAATAGAAATAACCAGGGTTAAGCAAGAGGTGTGGTACACAACTGCCGATTACGACCCCCCCCCCCCTCCTCCTCCTTTATCTTTGCCTACCGTGGGCATAACATAAAGGCTCTACTAAGCTTAATTAGTAACATATCCGTATTTATTATATCGGGAATGGGGGCCGTGTTTTAGCAAATTCTGAGGGTTCCCAATATTGGGCCACCCAAATGGAGTCATTTCCAAGCATTATCAACTATATCAAAAGTGAAATTGGTACCTCTTTCTGTATTCTGTACAAAGAACTGTTTTTTATGTGACCATATCGTGAATCCTGCTTCAAGCAAACACCAGATATGGAATTAGGAGCCAGGCGAAATCCCATTTGTCCCATTTTTCCCTAACAGTGGTATAATTTAGCAATTAGTGCTGAGACGAAAGAAGACGAATTCAGCTCTAATCACCTCTATGAAAACTACGAGATTTTGGCCATCGAGATTTATAACTTCGTTTCAAATTCGGTTTGGAGGTAAGTTAATGGGGTGGCACAACCCCAGAAAAGCTGTGGCTGCCAGACCTTTTTAGACCCTGCTCCATCTCTATATCGTTGCCACTGCTAAACCTTTTTTTCTACATAACAGAATTTTATTCAAAATCGTCCCTTTTGGTTAAAGTTGTAGTTGTTTTTCTTTACCTGTACAAATGGAAAATACTATTATTGGGTTACGGTAGCATGATATGGCTGCGCCACTACGAAGATCGTGAAGGAGGCCGAGAATAAATATACTCGATAGCTTAACCCCTGTGATGTTCACAAGAGTGTTTGGTTCTGCTTTTTTGGTTCTGTTGCTCATCACTCCCTTTTTATTCTAGGAAGGATCCAACACAACGTGAATTAGTAGTCTTGACATCCTTTGCTCAAATTGCTTTTGTTTCGAGTCATTTCTAGGAGAATATCTCCCAAAAAAGTCGTTTAGATTGATTTAACGAGATTGATTTCTTGTTGCTATAAGTTACTAGCTGGCTTACCTGGATCCGCCCGGCCCTGACAAAACACTACGATGAAGGTCTCATCCAGGGTCAAGTGTGATGATGCGATACGGGACCTTTTTTTACGACCCCCCCCCCCCCCGCTCCCATCCCCTATTTCCTTTTGCGGGCGAAATTCCCGAAATGTCACGAAATTCCAGGAATGTCGCGGACTTTCGCGAAATTCTCGGAATTCCGCAACATTTACGGAAACTTCCACATTTTGAGAGTAGTATTGTATGTCTCTGCAAATTTGATCCGGATCGGTTTTGAAAAAATTTGTATTCGGTACATACATACATACAGACAGATATACTGACAGACAAGCAGACACACAAACATTCAAGCTCTATATTAGGTTGGTGCAAAAATAATGAGCGTTTTCCCATTTTTCACTTTAACTTGCTATAACTTTCTACGAAATCTACATTTTAAAATGTGATAAAGACCATCAGATGCAGCGAACTTTTCGCAGTTCAGCGCACATTAAACTATACTCATATCTCATATGGCAGAAAAATATGGATTGAAAAACAAAAAGAGTTTTTTCTGAAGCTTTGTTTTCGACAGAACATAACTGCTTTCACACTTTGTTCTTATGATTTATGAGCAGCTTATCTTGTAGCCGCAAACCAGTAGTACAAATATACATGACGGCTGAGAAAAAAGATTAGCGAAGAGGGAAAAATCGAAATTTAAAATATCAACTTTTTCAGCATTTTTCAGTAGCCCTCAAGACCCCGAAGTAGAGAATTTTTTGATTTTTTGCGTACTGAAAAGCTGAATATTTTTGCAAAAACCGCTAATGGGACTCCTACCCTCACGCTTACAGAGCTGAGCAAAGTTTGAGCGACTGCATTTTACAAAAAAAGTTATGGGCTCTAAAATGACTACAACCAGTACCCATGTTAAGCCACCGATATCTGACTTTAGATAACTTGAAAAAATACGGTTGAATATATGCATAATGTAGACGACGTCCGTTACATAAAGTGGCTAAATTTTCGAAAAACCACCTTCATTCGCGCTCAAATTCTGGCCAGAAATAAATGCAACGAAAATCTAATTTTGAGTGCTTATGTAAGCTCTATAAATTCTTAACAGAGTGGGCTAGAAGTTCCTTTCAAACATCGTCAGATAGAGCATAAAAAGAGCTTTCTAACAATGTGCTGAAACCGTTAAAAAGAAAGACGTTTGATGGAGAGAAGTTGTCCTGAAGAAAGGCCTGGGAAAACGCTTATTATTTTTGCACCAACCTAATATTATGCATGACAGTGGCGGTCCCAGAATTTGCGTTGGGGGGGGGGGGGGGAAGAGGAAAGACAGCAATTTTTTGGACACTAGAGATCAAACTTCCTTTTTTCTAGTAGATTTATCACATGCTCTATTGTCAAAAAAGCAGTCTGAGCTGTTCAAGACTAGAGCGGCCGCAGCTCTGCTTTGCAGTAGCGTCTGATACATTTTCGCTGCCTCTCGAACTTCTCAAAATCGTTCCTTCAACTCATCTGCATGGTAATCTGTGTAACCTTATATTTCAATTCAAAGCATATATAAGTGATAAATTACGACGTTACGAGTGCCACTACGAACTCAAAATTACGAAACAGGGTATACGAAGGTATTCTGGACCAAGAAAATCTCCTGGCTCAATAAGAGGTTTTTTTAGGGGTCTATCCACAACTATCCTGATTTCAGCTTAAGAAACACTATGGGGTCTGACAGGTCGGTCTATCTTGGCAGGGAATATAGGTTAAATGGCAGGCACCCATAAAATTGTTGTTTCAGTTTTCAAGATAAAAATCTAAAACCTAGTCTCAGGTAACGCCACGACGGTGCCTGCATGGTCAAGAGTATATCTCTCACAATTTTTGTACAGGGTGCATCGGCTCAACGAAAACTCTCTTATCATTGGTACTAAAAATGCTAAAGTCTTTTTGCAACTGTTCCTACATGTTTCTTAAAAAAGCCACCAGCTACTTGTTGCCTACATTGGTAATTATCATTTCCTGCAACATCCAAATTGACAGTCGATCTTCATGTTAAATATTGCCACGCATTTAACCTATATTCCCTAATCAATGTCTTTCTTCTCAGAGTTCAGCGCACACGTTCCTAATTTTGAGCACAAATCACTTGAACTGCCAGCACAATTTTCGAATACAAGCGTCTTCTTTCGCGACACTGCGTAAGTTAGAAACGCTATAAAGACAAAAACCTTGAAAGGTATCAAGCTTCATAGGGTCTACCATTTACATAAAAGGTCGTACACATATTAAAGAAGTAGTAGAGCCATTAAAATTTGCGAACTAACATAGATTTTAAAATTCGCATAAAAATCCCAAATATGCCGCTTTTGAACTCTCGCAAACAGAAAAAAACTGTGTTTCTCGAATGAGGACAAAGGGGAACGATAAATGCAAATAATTATGCGGTATAGGCTGCTGCATGACGAAGGCGCAATATCTTCGGGCGCGAACGCGGCTTTATTAGCCGCAGAACGCATGAGATGCGGGATCTACAACGATGAGGATACGCGCGCGTCGCCTTCGCGCACCCTCAACTAATATCGCCATTGCGCCTTCGTCATGCAGCAGCCTTTACGTCTAAATTTGTTAATAAGCCCTTCAAGTATTCTCACCTTTAAGAGCTGTGCTCTCTGCTAATAAAAGGGCAAAATTGAGAACAATGAATTGGTAGCTATGCTACCGCTCTTTTTGAAGTTTTTTTAACATAGCACATAATGTTCATAGCGAAACTGGGATAAGTATAATCTACGTGGCCATACGATTCGCATGAAATATCGTTCATCTACCTCCCGTGCCCCTGTACTCCAGCCTTCACCGCGGACCAAACACCCGGGAGAAAAGGACGTCGAAAAAAACCTACTGCGAGTCGTAGTCCGACTTGCTCTCAGTGCTCTAATGACATCCGCGAAGGCCTAGAAAATCTCAAGTTTAGAGTTTCACCAGCAGAGTCTCAAGTGAGAAGCTGCTTGTGACATATGCTCGATTCTTGAGGGCGTGTCTCATCAGAATTTGGGTCTTGGGAATCTTGCGAATTGCCAGCCATCTCATGTGTAATACTGTTTCAGCAACGACCAAGATTTGCAACAATTCTTTATTGGCTAACGTTTCGGCGATTTCGCCTTCGTCAGAGCCTGTAAAGTCGAAGTTTAAGTAATCCCTTTACTCGGATGCCAATAAAAGAGTCAGCTCGACATTCGACCGAGACACAGTAACAACGCGGACTACGGTAGCTAATACCAACCTCAAAAGACAGCTTGAGGGCCGCAATGAACACGTTCTGACAAGATCATTCCTTCGCTTTTTTTATATGTGCTGATTCTTTATCAAATTAGCATAAGGATAGGTAGCACGACACCTCTTGCGTGATAGCAGTGCACTATTCTTAAGCGTTCATTTTTAGATTTTTCGCGTATATCCAAAACGCCTCTAACGTCTTGTGTGCTAAGGTATCAGATTCGAACGACAAATTTTTGACTCCAATTTGAAA